GTTCAAATGTCTCAGGTCTAAGATGGGCCTGAGGGCTTCGTCCTTCTTGGGCACGAGAAAAATATCGGCTGTAAAAGCCTGACTCGCTCAGAGAAGGCGGTACCAGCTCTATAGCACCTTTGCACAGTAGCTTCGCTATTTCTGCGCGGAGTAGATGTGCTACTTCCGCATTCACTGTCGTCGCGGTCCGCGCTCGAAAGCGTGGGAGACGCCAAACGAACTGACACGAATAGCCCTGCTTTATTGTGGTTAGCACCCATTCTGAAAACCCCTGGGATAGCTTCCCATGCTTTTATATGTACAGCTAGGGGGCGAATGGCCTCCGCGTTCTTATCGCTGCACTTTGGTGGATCAAGAGACCACTCCCTCGGTGCTTAAAGGTGGCAGCTCGCTGACAACCATGACAGGCTGAATTGTGTGTGACGTCCCGATTGCTATGAATGGGTAGCGTCTTTTACCACTTTGTGATACGTGAGCAGCGCCCTGGGCGAATTGTCTATTAGTAAGCGTGAGCACTTGTGCGCGGGCACGAGACTTACATATGAATGTGTAAGTCTCATTTTCTACACCCGATCGCTTTGGATAGGGAGCGTTTTATGATCGCCTTGAGACGCGAGCGCGGCACTATGGGCAGAGTGTTTATTAGTAAGCGTGAGCGCTTCTGAGCGGGCACAGGACTTACAGTTATAAGTGACGCCCCGATCGCTTGGGATGGGCGGCGTTTTATAGTCACTCTTAGATGCGCGGGCGGCGCTCGGGGAGAGGTATGTGTTAGTAAGCGTGAACGCTCATGGGCGGGCACGTAACTTACATTCATAACCTGACTGATATGAGTCTTTAATGGCCGTGTGAGCGTTGCCAGTAAAGCCCCGTTCACACCGCCAGCGATTTTGTCGCTACATGTCGCTTGTCTCTGTACTGTGAAGTCGCTTGTGGGCGTCCGTAGTGCTGACGCTCTAATGTTATTGGTTGACTGCACGTCTGGCCATATATCTACACAAAATACCATCATAAGTAACATATACAACTATATCATTTTAATTTGATTAGGAATTAGGCTCAAAAGAAACAGTATGCTGTTGGGAGAGTGTTTTTATATTACCACAGCAGTGTTCAGTAGATTAAATCATTTACTAGATTAACGATCGATCAATCAACAAATTAAACTCACTCATTCTGTCATAAATTACTAAAACATCATTCGAATTTGACAAATAATCAATTTTCTTGTCCCTAATAGTCAACATAATGCAAGGGAAGCTGTAAAATGATCTGCAGCAGTGCTAAACTTGCATCATAAAATTACAACACTCGAACTATAAATGTATATGAATTAAACTCACTGAGACTGTCGACAGTTTCTTTTCCATTCGTCATTTTATTATATCCATGTATGTGGTTACAGTCAAATCATATAAAACAGTGAAATCTCCCTCGAACTCTTCTGTCTTGCCTGCACTCGAGACGGTGACGTGAGCTCCACTGAAAGTCTTCTTTCCTATTGGTTGTCGCTCGCGAAAATCGCTTCTCATTTGCATAAAGTTGAAAATTCTCAACTTTTGTCGCTTGTCGCTTGTCTCTTGTCGCTTGACACGCCAACGGTCACTGTCGCTCGTGTCGCCGGATGTCGCCAGCGCTCCGTTAAAATGAATGGGATCGAGTTGCTTTGTCGCTGTGTGTCGCTGGCGGTGTGAACGGGGCTTAAGCGTGTGCGCTCGTGAGTGGACACGTGACTTACATTCACAGCCCGACCAGTTATGAGCACTTGAGTACGGAGGCTCGCTGACAGCGACAGCTGGCTGTTTTACATGTGATGTCCCGGTTGCTTTGAACGGGGAACGTTTTGTGAAAACATTGTAATGTGCGAACAGCGCCGGAGGCGGTGTGTCTGCTTAGTAAGCGTGAGCGCTCGTGAGCGGGCACGTGACTTGTATTCTAAACCTGATATGTATGAGGCTGTTCTGGCCGTGTGACAGAGCGGGCAGAAAATAGGCGTGAGCACAGAGTTGTGGGCACGTTTCCTACATCTAGCACTCGAGCGGCATTTGCCAGCTTTATGAGAGTGGGCTCTACGAGAGACACGGGGGGTATCGTGCTTGTGTGTAGGGGTGAACACAGAGATGTGGGCACATTTTCTACACTCAAGACACCAACGGCGTGAGCCAGATAACCAGACATTATACTCACTTTAAGATTTCTCTGGGTCGCCGCGAAAACGGCGGATACGTGCAGCCGAGCGGGTTGCATTACCGGCTCGTTGGTTGCCAAATACACCGCTGCAGTAGCCTTTTCTAAGGGGACTGACAGGGCGAGACATTTCGACGGCGGCGCGCAAGCCTGTCCGGGTCATGCAGAGAGCTCGAGAGGGCTCTGCATGACGTGCGAAACGGGGGCGCGAGGGCGGGGTAGCTCTCTTGTAACGTAAAGAGAGCTAGCCGCGTGGCGCTGTGGTTAAAGACTTCGATTCGAGCCAGCAGGGTCGACATCGGAAGTTCCTCGCGGTGCTCGCATCCTCCACGAGAGGGCGAGGGCTGCGTGTTCCTGGCCCAGGCAGAGAGCGCAGATGAGATGGCGGTCTCCAACGCTGAGCAGCTCTGCACGAGCCACAGGAAGTGCGAGACATTTTGAAAAAGACGTCTCGCTGCTCTTTTAGGAAGTGTAGAACACATAATACAGAGCTTAAAAGGATATGTCGCCGGATAGCGTAGCTCGCACGGATGGCTGAAGGTGGCGAAGACGGCCGGCTTCTTCAAGCGCCTGTCATAAGCTGGCTTGTCGCTTTTCTCAACGGCAGGGGCGGCTTCTCTAGATCCAGCGATACGGACAGCTTCGCTGAAGAGATGAAAATCAGAGAAACAGCCTCCGAGCCCTGCTTGTATACGCTAAGCCACGCCCATTCTGGCGGGCTGTGATGCTGTGAAGGCGCGAGCGCCCTTCATTGGACGTGACGTCACGTCGGGGTTCAGTGGTAGGCTGCTCCAGTTCCCACAGGGCAGCCTATGAGCACGCTAGACAGCCTGCTCTAGGTCTGCTAGCTGCTGCACTGCGTTGACAATAAATACAAAATTAAGGATAATTTTTGGCTTCAATATCTCGAAAAGATGAATCTTTCCCGTAGCGTAAGCTAACTTACGCAATACGAGAGAACCTCTCGTAAGAGAACCATCTGTGTTTAGTACGGGCCTAACTGTGCTGCTGACACCTCAGTGCCTGTTGCCACCAAGTCTTGCTGCTGGTCTTTTGCAGTCACTCAAGGGTTTTTCTGAACTGCCTTCTCAGAAATCTGGTTGCATCTTCCCTTTTCTGCCCCATCCAGGTAAAGTTACCACTGTTCCTTTACTTTGAACTGGCAAACTTTGCTATCCTTTTTCCTGTTCCTTCTTTGTGAAGGGCGATGAAATCTTCTATTAACTTTTTGGAACATTCTTTTGACTTTTTTATTACCATTCTTTTGCATGTATTTCAAACATGCAGTCAAACGTGACACTCAACAAACCTTTCTTTCTTTCTTTCTTTCTTTCTTTCTTTCTTTCTTTCTTTCTTTCTTTCTTTCTTTCTTTCTTTCTTTCTTTCTTTCTTTCTTTCTTTCTTTCTTTAAACAGGAAAAGATTAAGAGCAATCGGGCCTGACTCAGTATAAAACTGATTTTCAGCAGGTTCCTGTTCTGCAGAACATGAATACCTCAAACACAACAGAACTCCAAGACCATACAATAACAAACACACAACAAGCACAGAAACCACGATAGTAAACAAGCAGCAGCAGGAGGCCATAAAGCCATCTCAGTGGTCACAGATATACCTGTCCATCAGATGGCGAGCAAAAAAAAACTGGCTGAACCTAGCCAGTTCAGATATTTCATGTGTTCTAGCTCAAGCACACCTGGTGCAACTAATGAAGCCCTTGATTAGTTGCATCAGGTGTGCTTGAGAAAACACATTTTTTGCAGATTCAGGGGGTTGAATAATTGTGAAACTGCAGAAGTCATTAAGTTGCATTTTCAGTTAAATTTGGGGAAACGACTTGAAACATTTGTTGTGTTGAGCTATTTCAATTACTTTTGTTTGATTTGTTCATTGCAAACAGCTGAAAGTCTGTCAATTTTGCCAATAAACCTGATTTGCAATGGGGGTTGAATAATTTCGATTGCAACTTTAAAAAGCCTCGACATCCATCTAAAAATCTCTATGAACAGAAGCATATTAAAACGTGGATAAATCAACTCAACTTACAGTGTGTCCTCGTCTCCCATCGTCAATAGCGCTCGCTCCTGTTGTGTCCTCAATCCGGTAACCCGCGTGAGCGTCGAGTCTGAGCAGCAGAGGGTGGGAGAAACTACGATCTCCAATATCCTGAATTTGGACTGCAGTTCCCATTTCAACTACCAGCTGTCAATATTGCATACTTCTCCTTTCATTAAGTAATGAAATTAATAACATAAACATGCGTTTAGTTGACTATTGGCTTAAGTGAACAACTTCTAATCGAATAGAAAAATTCTTCAGTCACGGGCAGCCCTAGTCACTGTGTTCGTTAGTCTCTGCAACTTTGATCTCACGTGCTGATGAATGAGTGGCTAGCTCGTAGTAGGCATGTTGGTACAGCGTTTCCCTTGTGTCAGCCACTGACGCAGCTTTGAAGGAAACCTATGAAAGGGAACTCTTTGGTTAGTAATCTTGGTTTCCTGTGTAGGGAATAAGAGGCTGCGTAGCCAGCCATGCTCAGTCTCTGATTGATTTCCTTACTAGTAAATCTATCTATGATAGAATCACCACATTCTTAAAAGGCATCATTAAAGCAACACCTTAGTTAAAGAAGGCTGGTACTGTTGGCGTGATTCAGCCGCCAAACCAGAGCGTGTTCCCATAGTGTCAGCTACTGATGCAGCGTCTCATTCCTACATTTATTACTGTGCACACAAGCTTATGGGTGCGTGGATGAATTGAAATGATTATGAATACATGCAGCTGTTTAGTTTTGTTTCTTGTCTCTTATTGCAGGGACTTTGCGTATGTGGCTCGAGACAAGTTGACTCATGTGCTAAAGTGTCATGTATTTCGGTGTGACACCCCTGCAAAAAACATCGCCACAAGCATGCATGACATCTGCTCTAAGGTAAGGACATCTGAGCTGCTGGCTGAAAATATTCATACTCTTGTTCTTGTTTAAACATTGAAGACGTTGTGCGCTGCAGTGTGCAAAATATCCTAGATTTATTGAAACAACAGCGGTTCAGGTATTTATGAGCAGGGAATAATAATTGGAGTGGTTACTCATGCGATGTAGATGAGAACCTAACTTGTGTTGGGTACGAGGATAAACGTTATAAAAGTTAATAAAAGATGTGAATTAGGGGTGGGGGAAAAAATCGATTCTTAGATGCATCGCGATGCGGACGTGGACGATTCTGAATCGATTCACAATTGTCAAAAATCGATTTTCAAAAAAAAATACAATTTTTTTAGATATATATTTATAATAACGTAATACTGACGGAACGCGAAAGACGGAACTCTGAAGCGCGGAAGTGCAGTGGCCGGACCGTCTGTGTTGTGCACATAACAGACGCGGACGCGATGGCTGAGCGCCAAATCCAAACACCCTCCTCGTTAAAAGCTGACGTGTGGAAATATTTTGGCTTCTGAAGTTGAAGGGGGAAAGGAGCTGGACAAGAGCCACACTAGTTGTAAGCTTTGTAGAGTAAAACTAAAATATTTCGGAAACAAGACACATATGAGAAGCCAAATGACACGTTTCCAGCCAGAGGAGGAAAAACACTCGGCTGTAACGTTACCGGTCGTTGTTATATTATTAATTTACTACAAATATGCTGCTGCTAGTTCAGACACACATGTATTTTCCTGTTGGTTCTTTGCAATGTTAATAAAATATATTGTATGTTAATTCTTTATGGGTCATTACTTTGTACTTTTAAAGCAAAGTATTTATAGTCACACACACACACAAAAAAAAGATTCTGATAATCGATTTAGCATCGAATCGCAGCCCTCTGAATCGTAATCGAATCGAATCGTGAGGTGCCTAGAGATTCCCACCCCTAATGTGAATACACAACCATTGCATCTATTGAGAGTCTTGAGTAAATGGATCCAGTAAGTGCCACTCAAGCATCATAAACACGTTTTGCTCAAACCTCCACTGAATCTGAGGGTACTTTTTTAAGATTGGTATTTTTTGTACATAAAATTTCTATCACTATTTGAGTATATCCTTGTACAGCAGGTAGTGGTTTTTTTTTCTGTGCTGTAGAACATTTTGAACTCTTTAAAAATTGATTATGCTTATGTTGTAGTTACAAAAAAGTTATGAAGGACCTAAACTTGGTCATTGCTTAGTGAGGGATTGACAATTAGCTTACATGAGGATGTCAGAAAAACGTAGTTAAATACCCAATACCCATGTGAAATAAAAATAACTCTTTATAGAAAACAGGTGATCACCTTAAAGGGATACTCCACTTTTTTTGGAAATAGGCTCATTTTACTACTCCCCCAGAGTTAAACTGTTGAGTTTTACCGTTTTTGAATCCATTCAGCCGATCTCCGGTTCTGGCGGTACCACTTTTAGCATAGCTTAGTCATACATCATTGAAGTGGACAAGACCATTAGCATTTCTAAAAAAAAATTACCAAAGAGTTTCGATATTATCCTATTTAAAACTAGACTTGACTGTAGTTACATCGTGCACTAAGACCGACGGAAAATGTAAAGTTGTGATTTTCTAGGCTGATATGGCTAGGAACTATACTCTCATTCCTGCGTAGTAATCAAGAAACTTTACTGCCGTACCATGAGTGCAGCAGGCGTAATGATATGACGCAGCGCCTGAAAATAGTTCCGTTGTGTTGACGGAAGGTGGCCTATTTTCAGGCGCTGCTACACTTAGTGCACGATGTAACTACAGAAGAGTCAAGTTTTAAATAGGAAAAATATCAAAACTCTTTGGTCATTTTTTTTAGAAATGCTAATGGTCTTGTCCACTTCAATGATGTATGCTAAAAGTGGTACCCCCAGAACCGGAGATCAGCTGAATGGATTCAAAAACGGTAAAACTTAACAGTTTAACTCTGGGGGTGTTGTAAAATGAGCCTATTTCCAAAAAAAGTGGAGTATCCCTTTAATTAGACACATTACATTAGGTTTTCAAAATAATCTTCGCGACTTTGAATTTCCTTTCCGTGTAAAACAAGGCGTTCCAACTCTTCCCCTAGGTAATTATAGGGTTGGCTATTGCGCCCAGTTTGCCTTTACACACAAATGCAATTATTTTAGCCATCCGCACACTGGTCGCAATATTCTGATACGCAGTACTGTTACCTGTTCTTCTACTCATGTGATCTTATTCGGTGCCCTTGTGGTCTTGCACATGTTGGTAAAACTTCGAGACCATTGCATACTTGGATTAGTCCCTGTAAAAATTCTAATAACAATATAAATGTTAGAAATGTATTGCTAAAACATATTACAAAGACTGTGAACTGTGAAGTACTGAATTGTGGAGTTAGACCGTTAAACAGTTTTTCACCATTGCTATTTTCCGGATTTTTTGGGCGGGGCTAAAACGGGGCTCGATGACGCACTGGAGCCCCTGAGCTCCTGGACATGCCCCTACTTGATGACGCACTGAGGCCACTGAGGCTGGCCCCTCACCCCGCACTAAGATTAGTCAAAGAAACATGGAGAAAGCAGATCAAGAGGATCCACAAAGGAATTACGTTTTCTAAAGGGTTGTTGTTATTAACATGATAATTTCGGGGGGAAATGAGCAGCAGTCAACTAGCAGTGCAGCACCCGTAGCTACAGTTTAGAGTAGGAATGTCCCGATCCAATCACGCGATCGGAAATCTGGCCCGATCACGTGGTTTCAGACTCGATCGGAATCGGACGTTACCTCCCGATCAGGACTCGGATATATGTAAATTAGGGGTGTGCAACGGTACATGTATTCGTAATTATTGAACCGTTTCGGGACGAGTCTTCCGGTTCGGTACGCATACAAACCGAATTAATCCTAGGACCATTTTTCCTGCAGACAAAATCCGCGCTGGCGCGATCACCACAACGTTGCGCAACATCAAATGGCAAACGTAATGAAAGCGGAACGAAACTGCGCTACTCATTATATTGTGCTTAACGGACCATTTATCAGTTCGGACCAGCAACATCTGTGCAGCGCGAGATCAAGCGACACTGTGCTAAGAGATCCAGTGAAGAAAACATTTGAGTTCGCCACTGAAGTAATAATATCGCTGCGAGATCTAGAGAAGCGTTCACATTTCTCCGTTATTAACCGTAGATCTCTATTAGATCAAACAGCGCTGACGTGGGAACAGGAGAAACATTGTGAACATGGATTTAATGTTGCACTTCAAAACTCAAATATTATATAAATATATATTTAAATGTTATTTTTAATGTGATTACCAAAACATTATTTGTTCATCCTTCAAAGATTACATTTATAAAGCTGAAAGTTTCAAGATGTAGGAAAACTCAAACTTATTTAAAGGTTTTTCCTTTAATAAATAGGAAATTTCTCTGGCATTTCTTGAACCGAACCGCAAATTTTGTGAACTGTTACACCCCTAATGTGTGTGTATATATATATATTAGGGGTGTAACGGTTCACAAAATTCACGGTTCGGTTCGATACGATACACTTGTGTCACGGTTCGGTTCGGTACGATTCGGTACGTTTCCGATACAGCAAAAAGAAAGAAATGCCAGAGAAATTTCCTTGATTTAATCTTTTTAATTATATTTTTATTAAAACTAACATCATAAAGTATGATATTTTTTAACTTTGAGCAATGATGGAGCTATACTTGACTTTTCTTAGGAGCTTATAAAACAAAACAGCTCCTTGGACAAAATTAAATGTAATATTGTAGTAGTTATAAACAAAGGTTTATTTTAGTTCAGATTAACATTTGAGGGCAGCAATTGTATTCATAATGTCAAAATAAAACCGACGTGATGTTACTTGAAAGCATTATAGCCTACTATTCCTGCCAAACTTCCATGGTTACAGTTAGTAGTGTTACTACAGTAAACCCATGGTGAATGTTGCTGATCTGTGGACACTGGATAGTTCATTCATGGCACAATGTTTCTTCCTGGTTTCCACGTCAGCGCTGTTTGATCCGTTAATAACGGAGAAATGCGAATGTTTCTCACTAGATCTTGCAGCGATGTTATTACTTCAGTGGCGAATTCAAATGCTTTCTTTACTGGATTTGGCTGTGTAGTAACAGTGCTGATGATTAAGATCGGCTCGCGCTGTATTTGTCCAAACTGATAAACGGTCCTTCAACCACACAATAACGAGTGGTTTCGTTCCGCTTACATTACATTTGCCATTTGATGTTGGGCAATGTTGTGGTCACGCACATTATGAGCGCGCTTGCCACGCGTGACGCGCCTTCATTTGAAATAACGAAATTTTGGTCGGCAGGAAAAATGGTCCAACGAACCGTTCGGTTCAAAAATGCGTACCGAAAACCGAACCGAAAGCCTCGTACCGAACGGTTCAATACGAATACGTGTATCGTTACACCCCTAATATATATATATATATATATATATATATATATATATATATATATATATATATGCTCATTATTTTTTTATACACTTTTAAAACATTTTTATTTTTTGTTTACATGCCTGCCGGGTATTTTAAGTTGAGGTGCTATTTGTTTTTATTTTAGACTTTTTCTATATTTACTGTTGCACTAAAGTCTAAAAGTGAAGATTTTATGTTATTTATTACTTGATTGTTCAAGCTACCTCACAGAAGTGCTCTGTTTGTTAACAGAGTTGTTGAATGTTAAAATAAGGTGAATTAAATAAAAAATAAGGAACATCCTGGATCTGTTTTTTCTCTCTTCTTTATTCTTTTTTTATGTATTATAAGTATCGGATCGGGACTCGGTATCGGATCGGGACATCCCTAGTTTAGAGGAGTGCATGCTCGCAACGGGGAAAGCATGAAGCTTACTTGACAACATCAGTTCATATATCAATATCGTAACGATTAGAAATAACCTTAAATAATGTATGATTATCTGCATCTTTCCGTCTCTTATGTATAG